CCCCAAAACCCCAAAACCCCAAAACCCCAAAACCCCGTAAATCGATATAAAAATTGAATTCTGTGAAAGTATTATTTTATACAACAATTTATTAATATGAACAACCATATATTCTCAGATTACGATTCTTCAAAAGCATCCTTCTGGCTAGAAGACTTAAGAAACCCTAGGAGTTGTAATTACTACGACAATGTGTTCATGACATCTAGAGGGCAAGAGAAGGTAAGTTGGATCATTACAACCATCAATTCCCATCCCGTTTCATTATTGTGATGGTTTCATGAGAAATGATTTATAGCTTTAAAATTCATGAAGAATTTTGGTAATAATACCTTGTAGGATAGAGAAATTATGCAAGATTGGTGTGCTTTTGGGATTATAGACCCCTTGCTGTTAAGTAAAACTTTGAATCAGGCTCTAAAGGCATATCCTGAGAAGACTCAGCTTAGTAAAGGAAATCAAAATGAAATGAATATTCCACAATTTGCGTTTGACAAAAATGAATTAGAAATTAAGTACAACACATTAAGTAACTTATCAGAGATGGAAATGAAAGCTCAAGACCAGCAAATAGAAACTCAAATTAGCCAGAAAAGCAATAGAAAGAATAGGAATGGCAAAAGAGGCAGTAAAGCTAAGCCAAGGCTTGATTCAGAAATAAAGCAAGCTCTTAGGTTCGTGAAAAAGTTCATGAAGAAACTTTTCAAATCTCTGAACATTGAAATTACCAATAAAAGATATATTAATTGAACTCCAATGAAAATTTTTGAAGCTATGAAGACGACTCTGATGACTATTATTCCTGATGACCTTCTTGCAGATGATTTGATATATTACACAATTGGAATTCTGAATCTCAAGAAGCCTTCTGAGTTAAGATGCAAGCAAAGAGTTAAAAAGGAGATCTCTATTTTCAAAGAAACAAATAGCAATTTCACTTACAAAAGACTTAAGAAGTCAATGCAATCAAGCAGTTTAAGGATTTTATGAAGGTTTATTCTCTTGCAGGCATCTGATCAAATTGGAGAAGCTCTCAGAAAGGCGTTAGGAATTGAATAAACCTATTTTTTATCTATCATAGTTATGAAGAACAGAATGAAAAAGAGTGGAATAATTACTAATTTCCTTCATAAAAACATTCCAAAACTTATCAGCTCGATTCTCAAATAATTCTGGAATCTTGAGATTTATTCATTTACTTAGCTTACCATTGGTAGCATGATTGTGTTTACTAACAGATATACACTGTTCATGTGCCAAGACTCCTATCAGTGGGATCTTGATGAGCCTGCTTATATAAACTGCTCGTCTGGATATTTATGTCAGCAAAAACTTTGAGTCTTCTTATGCTAAACCAGACTCTTTGTTACTAGATTTTTTAATTTTCTGATGAAAATCTGAAAAAAATATGGTTTAAAGATATTGAAAATTTCAATGAGAAAAATAAAATTTGGAAATTATCTAAATTTATTAGCATGAAGAATTAGAGGAAGCATCGAAGCTTATCTTTAAATGAGAATGCTCATAGAGCCAACTTTTTATATGAATTTTTAATGAAATAGGCACTCATGATAGCTCTTGATTATAATCTATTCGATAGACCAGATGACGACTTCTGTTGTCTGCTAAACTTAATTATTTTATGCTAGTGTTCAGGAGGCACACAAAGTTAAGATCCCTAGATGATCTGTGAGTTGCCAGTCTACTCTGCTGAATTCCAAATCTAGATAAATTCAAGAGGGAGCTTGACCATATTTACTAACTTCAAAAAGTTTATAAAGCAAAACTATCAAAAGTGTCGACCCAGATTATTGTTATTCTAAATTAGTGATACCTGAAAAGCCCAAATTAATGAATACTTGTGAGCAAGGATCCTAAAACCAATATTAATTCTGATATGACCTCTATGTTTCAAAGTCAAGTTTTGAATTCTTGGCACTTGGAAGGTTCTTTATACTATAAAATTGACTATAAGTCTCATATAAATGAGATTAGAATTTGACAATTTTAATGAGGTAACAACACTCAGTTGAGAAAAATTTAAATGGAGCTAGAAACTCAGAAATTACTGGAAGCATTTTTACCCTCTATAATGATTTATAAAGTAGCTCTAATGCCTATATATCTTATTTGAAGAGATATCAGAGCTATCCAAATTTTGAAAAAGGCAGTTTATTTGGCATTATCAACTCATATTTAATCTAAAATAGTAATATGAACAGGCCTCTCAAATAACTTAGATAAAGAAGACAATAAACTAACTAAACTCTCATGACCTAGGCCATTTAAACTTTCTTTATGAATTATTGCAAGGTTTAAGATTCATGCTATATTTTATACAATCAAGAGGGTCGAGAAATCAGAATAAAGAGTTATTAAATTCGAATTTTTCATATTTTCAAGGATTTTACGAAATCCTCGAGAAATTTAGAAGCATCTAAGACAAGGATATGCAAATTTTGGTTAAGGCTAAAATTACTTAACTCCCCCAAAAATTCCTCAACAACATTTCACTAAAATCTATAAATTACCCTACTCAACAAAACTAACTCATTAAATCCCCAATACCTCTCCACAAACCTATTAAATTTTCAACAACAAATGGCCACCAAGGGGTTTTGGGGTTTTGGGGTTTTGGGGTTTTGGGG